CTCTCTGAGAGCTTCTACCTTTAAGTCTGAGTCCAGCCAAAAATGAGGTCTAAGAGTAATAAATAATGATAAACATAAAAAAATTTCAATCAACAGTATTATGTAATGTGGTTGATGATGATGTTTTGCTGAAATTAAATTGTCCTTTGAAATGAGAATATGGAATGTACTGCTATTGTACAGGCTTTTAAATGCATGTTTATAATTGACTCAATTACCCCAATATCCTTCTCTATTTGTTGTGAAACTTTTGTACAAAATGCCACACAGACATTTGATCTTCACTTGGCCAGAACACTCTCATCTCCAGAAAACGTATTTTGTTCTTTTCTCATTAGCCCAAGAAAATTAGTTATACATTTTTGTGCCAAGTACAAAATCAACTGGCTGTGTTTGATTATAAGGTGGTCATCAAAATGATCCAGAATAAGCATATATTAATTTTTTAAATTATAATTTAAATAAGAGCAAAGTTTATATAGATAACTTGCAATATACATTATTCCTTTTATATAAAATATCCAGCATAGGCAAATCCATAGAGACAGAAAGTCAATTAGTGATTGTCAGGGGTTGGAGAGTGACCACTAACGGGTATGGATTTCATTTTCTTGATGAAATGTTCTGGAATTAGATAGTGGGTATGGCTGCACAACTTTGTAAATATAATATATAGCATTGACTTGTACACTTGAAATGGGTGAATTTTATGATATGTAAATTGTATACCAAGTTCTAAAAAGTGACTTCACAGTTTTCCTAAAGAATAGTAGATGGATATGAGGCTTACCTTTATTTATCTAAGGGTTCATCCTGTGGTGTTTCTCAAAACAAAGGGTATTCCCCTTCAGCCCCTGCAATGTTGAGACTACTGCCATATTTATATTATAACTCAGATTCATATTTGTATACAAGGTCACAGCCGTTTATGAATGGGGGTGGGAGAAAAGGACTAGAGAGGGAAGGTCTGGAGATAGGAAGATTAGTTGGTGGACTAGCAACAAAAGGGCCTACAAGGCATCAACAAGGACACAGATAGATTGTACCAGTATCACCCAGAGACACAACAGCCTACCAGATTGAAGCTCAGGAAGAGCCTGCTCTGTCCCAAGTAACTTCCTAAAATCCCACCAATTTAGATTTAAGCATTTCATTCTTTCAACAAACATTTTTGACACCAGGCAGTGTCATCAGGCATTAGAGGGAATACAAATATAACTAAGACAACGTCCTTTCCCTCAAGTATTTTACTTTGTAGTAATGGTGATAAGATTCACATAGGGATAAGTACCATTTAAAAATGTACACTGAGATAAGAAAAAGGGAGGTATAAACCTAGAACTATCAATGTGAGAGGAGAAAGAGATTACTTCTTATTTGTGGTGGAAACCCCTTGTAATCTGTTGTTAGAGGATGACTTGATGATAAGTGGAAATGTAGGGAAGAGCATTTTAGTGGAGGGAACAGCATGAACAAAGATGGTAATACAGAGAGGTTTGATATCACTAGGAAGGTGTAGTCTGAGGTGATGGTAAACAGTCTACGAAGGACTGACCGAGAAGCTGAATGCCTCTAGCCATGGAATTATGAGCTAGACAATTTGGAATAAAAGAAGGGATCACGGAGAGGCACTGGTTTTCCTAAGCTCTCTCTGGCTCCCTTTTCCTTGAAGATGCCTGGATGATCATGCTGCAGCTGCCTGTGTTTCCCAACAGACAGTATTTTGGACGGGGAGAAACCCAGGGCGCAACCTAGGGTCAGGCTGGCAGTGGGTTATCCTTCTTTGGGTGTTCTAGATGACCTCTGAGGCAGAAGCCTGATATTCTTACAAAATTGTATAACTTTCATATTTTATGTTGGTTTAGTTTGTAAGTTAACCCTATAGAAATTGGGGGGGACTTCCGCCAAGATGGAGGTGTAGGTGGAAGCACTGCATCTTCTCGCACAACTAAGTTTAAAAACAACAAAGTTTTAGCAACAAAAACGCAGCCAAACCACAGAAAATTGAACTACACGGAAGTCTGATGACAACGAACCATTCAGCCAAACCTGTAAGAGGGGCAGAGCCAGCAGCAGAGCGGAGTCGGGCAGGAAAGACCCACTGGACCGACCCTGGCGCATGACCCAGTTGCGCCAGCAGCCGTGGGTGGATCCCAGGTGTGGAGAAGCGGGCGGACCCACCGAGGGCACAAGGCGGTGGACCCACTGAGGGCTGATCACAGTCACACATTCACACACAGATAAACCAGTGAAGGAGCTAGCAGTGAGACAGACTGTGCAGGCCCCAGCGGCAGGAAGCGGCAGAGGGAACCGCAGGTTGTCCCTCTCTGACCCTGCCCCCACATAAAGCCTCACAAACCAGCGACCGGGTGGCCCCGCCCTGGCGAACACCTCCTCCTACATAACGGGCACAGACAGATCAAAACAGGGCTCAAGAACAACTCAGAACCCCAGAGCCTATAAATCTAAGCAATGAAGAAATAGCCAAACTTTCAGATGCACAGTTCAAAACACTGGTCATCAGGATGCTCACAGAACTGGTTGATTTCAGTCACAAATTACAGGAACATATGAAGGCTAAACTAATTGAAATGAAGAAAAACGCACAGGAAACCAATAGTAATGGATAGGAAACTGGGACTCAAATCAAGGGAGTGGACCAGTAGGAAGAAAAAAATGACCAAACAGAAAAGAATGAAGAAACAAGAATTCAAAAAAATGAGGAAAGGCTTAGGAACCTCCAGGACATCTTTAAACATTCCAACATCCAAATTATAGGGGTACCAGAAGGGGAAGAGGAACAGCAACAAGTGGAAAACTTATTTGAACAAATATTAAAGGAGAATTTCCCCAATCTGGCAAAGGAAATAGACTTCCAGGAAGTCTAGGAAGTTCAGAGAGTGCCAAAGAGGAAGACACCAAGGCACATCATAATTGCATTAGCCAAAATTAAAATGAAGGAGAGAATCCTGGAAGCAGCAAGAGATAAGGGGACAGTCACCTACAAAGGAGTCCCCATCAGACTGTCAGCTGATTTCTCAGAAGAGACCTTATAGGCAAGAAGGGGCTGGAAAGAGGTATTCCAAGTCATGAAATCCAAAGACCTACATCCAAGATTGCTCTATCCAGCAAAGCTTTCATTAAGAATGGAAGGACAGATAAAGTGCTTCTCGGATAAGATCAAATTCAAGAAGTTCATCATCACCAAGCCCTTATTATATGAAAAGTTAAAGGGACTTATCTAAGAAAAAGAAGATAAAAAAAGATGAACAGTGAAAGGACAGCAAACTCAGTTATTAAGAACCACACCTAAAACAAAAGTAAACTAAGAGGACAGCTAGATCAGGAGCAGAACCATAGAAATGGAGATCACATAGAGGGTTAGCAACAGGCAAGTGGGAGAAGGAGAAGGGGGGAGAAGGTACAGAAAATAAGTAGCATAGATGGTAGGTAGAAAATAGATAGGGGGGAGGGCAAGAAAAGTATGGGAAATATGGAATCTAAAGAACTTGAGACACGTGGTCATAAACTAAACGGGGGAATGGTGGGGGAGGGGGTGTGCAGGGTGGAGGGGAATGAAGGGGGGAATAGAACAACTGTAATGGCATAATTAATAAAATATATTTTAAAAGAAATAATTAAAAATAACAGGGGGAAATGATAGAACTCAGGTGTTAAAGAGTTTATAGCCCTAACTGATAGGTTTAAGTGATTAAAGCTGTAACTAAAGAGTTAAAGAGTTCAGCTTAACTGATTAATCCATGTGGAAAGCTGTTACGCCAAAATTGTGAAGCTTTTGAATAAAGACTCCTTTCCTTTAGGACCAAACCTTTGCCTCTGGAATTTTACCCAGAGGGTGGCAGAGGGCAGTAGGACCCCAATTCCTGTTTGGTGATAATAGAAAATGAAGAGCTAGAGAGAGGAAGGATGAATGAGGGAGCACTGGCTGGAACTAAGCTGTGGGAGGGAAAGCAAGAACCGATGAAGCTCTAAAAGTATGGATGGACAAGTTGTCTTTTTAAAATGGGGAAAAAAACTGAAGGGGGGGTGCAAGGGAGAAGAGGGTCAATAAAAAAACTGTCTTTTACAGATTTGTACCAGTTTTCAAGATTTATTTTGGATGAACTATCCCTGATTAGTAAATAGGCATTTTGTCGGGTGGGAGGGAAAGTGTTGAAAGAATGCTTCTATGATGGCTAGCTGTCCCTAAGGTGCTGAAGATGAGTAAGAAGAGCACAAAAGCAAAAGAAGTGTTATTGTTCCCAAATTCCTCCCTCCATCACTTTCATCTGAGATCGCTCAGCCTGTAGGCATCTGCGTCTGTCTTATCAACAATGTGTGTATCCTCAATAAAATATGAAAAGGCACCTGGGAAAAACCCTGGCACGATCACACCAAACTCATATGCGTTATTACAATGAATTAATTCATTTTTTGAAAATACACGGTTCCTGGCACATAGTACAAAAACATATTTTATAAATGAACTTTTTGTTCTTTTTAGAGGCTATATTTAGGAGAGGAAATGATTCAAAACTGTATCCTAAAACCTATATTCACTATAGGTTAAGCTGGGAGGACCTGGGCCCAAAGGCTTGGTTTTCCCCTTTAAAACTTAGGTTTCTTACTCATCTGACTGGTCCCTTAGGTCAGTAGGTCCTGCAAGGAAAATGTCCTAGAAACAAATCGCTGCGGGGGCCCTGGGGAGGAGCTATAGCTCTCCACCTCCTCTTCCCAGCCGACTCTCCTGAACTTAATACCTCGGTCGGCCTTCCTCGCACCTGCGTGTCCTGTGGTTTACCGGCTGGTGCAACCTCTCAAGCCCTGCGCTAGCAAGGAAGGGTTTTGCTCTCACCTCTCGCGAGATCGCCTCCTGCCGCCGCGCCGCCGCCGCCGCCGCTCCCGCCGCTCCGCCCCTCCCGCTCCTGCCCCTCCTGGGTCGCTGACTGGCGGGCTCTGCGCAGTCGCCTTGTTCGGTTGCTACGCCGTGGCCGGGGAGACCGGGTGTGCCTGAGGGAGGGGGTGGAGGAGGAGAAGACGGGAGAAGGGGAAAGAGTCGGGGGACGGAACGCCTCTTGCACTCTCACCCACAGACGCTGCCCAAGAATACCCGCCTGCTCACGTTTTGCTGCGCGCTTTTCTGCTCCTCAGGCTCCCCCCCAACATTGTTTTCTCAGGACCCCTGGGTCCCCAGGGGTTGAATTCGGGGACTGAGCCGGGGAAGGGAGAGACTTGGCTTTGGCCAACGGGTCGGAGGTTGGGGGCCAGACCCCCTCTCGGGGTCCCCCTCCCCCACGGCACTTTTGGGGGTGTGGATTATCTCATCCCCGCAGGGAGGTAGGAGTGTGCGCCAGCCGCCCTCCTCCTCGTTTCCCGGCGGCGCGGGTCCGCGGCAGCCCTGCAATATGACGAGGTGCTGTCAGCTCCCGGCGGTGGTTCCGCCGCTGCGGTGGCTGCTGCTAGGAGGACGCTGAGGGACCCCTGGGAGCGGCGCGGCGGACGCGCTTCTCCCCGGCGCGCCCGGGCCTCCAGGCTTTTCTTCTCCAGCCGAGAGAACGCGGCTGTGATAAGGAGGTAAGAGGCTGTCGGCCCTGCACTTGTACTCCAGGTACACCAGCCTGTTATCTAGGGCGTGTGTGCCTCGTGGGAGGCGAACCAGGTAGGGCAAGCCGTAGGTACACCGTTGATTTAAAAGAAAGGAAAAATAAAAAATGATGTTCCTTCCCGGCCTTTCCGCCCCTGACTCCCACCCCAGTTCCTCTTTCCGGGACCTCTGCCCTCAGAGCTGTTGGGGGTATGAGTTGGAATCTCTGTTCTGGGTGAGCCAAAGAAGGACGGAATGAATAGGTGCGGAGATGGAATGTTCCACGGTACATAAACTCTAGGTAAGGTTTTAGAATCCTTTGAGTTTTCCATTGGTGATAGGTTTCCTTTTTTTTTTTTTTTTTTTTTTTTTTTTTTTTAACTAAATTGGCTCATAGGAGCGCTATCAGCATACTGCATGGGCAAACTGTTCCTACCATTGAAGTTTTAAGCCTCTTATGATTCTACTGGTATTACTTGTATTTAAGAAGCTGTAGTTAGGGCAGAAAAGAAGTTGAGATGTAGCTAAATAGATATCCGATGTATTTCCCAGGGTTTCCTTAAAATGGAACAGTTTGCAATTGCACAGATGTATGATTACATGTTTCGGAGAAACTTAGAATGGGAGACTTGCTGGCATTGCATTATATAGTGACAGCACCATGTATGTACCAGGACGATCTGTAGGATTTTGAAGCCCTTGTTCTAGAAGAACGTACATATATGCAATCTACCATCTGCTTGACAAATCAGGAAATTGGAGTAATATTAGTTTTATGTGACCAGATCTTGGGCCCAGTTGAGACAATACAGTTTAAACCATATTTATGGGGGAAACCCCCCAGAAAGCCATTGTATCCTATTTAGTTGTAAAAGATAATTTAAGTAGAAAGGACGACTGTGGAACAGTAAAAGCTAGGGAATTTTTGACACTGATTTTTTATCTTAAGACGCCTGAGAAGAAATATTTTCTCATTTTCTTAAGTGGGGAAATGACCTTAAATGATTATTCAGAGCCCAAAATGTGCTTTAATGGAATAGGACTGATATCGCAGTTAAATGTTGCATTTGATGAATATAAATTAAACCTATAGGTTTTTTTGGTAAACAAAAGTTTGTGTATTGTACAGATTTCTTTACTAACTCATAATAAAAGTAATTTTATTCAGTAATTTTGTGGAGTGTACCAATTTTTGGTCAGAATAAATTAATGCTGCTGTTACCATAAAAACTATTATGTCTTTAATTTTTAAAACTTTTATTTATTTATTTATTTATTTTTAGAGAGAGGGGAAGGGAAGGAGAAAGAGTGGGAGAGAAACATCAATGTGTGGTTGCCTCTCATGTGTCTCCCTATTGGGTACCCGGCCTGCAACCCAGGCATGTGCCTTGATTGGGAATGGAACCCGCGACCCTTTGCTTCACAGGCCTGCTCTCAATCCACTGAGCTACACCAGCCAGGGCATCTTTCATTTTTTTGTAATGACACACATATCTTTGTTACCGTTTTGCAGTGGAATGTGCATATGGTTCCATAATATGATTTTAACTGGTTTATAAGAAGAGAAACATGGTCTTCTTTTTTTTTGTGCATGGGAATATTTGTTTAGCTGGTTTGTTTTAAACATCTGGCAAGAGATTTTGAAAACACAAGAAGCCGTAACAACTTTTGTAGTTTTTAATTAATATCAATTGAGTAGTTTAAAGTTAGAAAATTTTCGTTTCCTCAAAAGCAGTAAGGGTGAGGATGTGACTTTCTTATTGCCTGTTTTCTAACCTAGTGATTTTCAACGGTGTGCCACAGCACATTGGTGTGCCACAAGAATTTTTAAAGCATGCAATATCTGACTATTTAGTCTGAGACACTGACCTCTTTTCCCTTAGATTGTCAAATAAAAAAATGAAAGCTAATACAACAGTAGGCGTCGGTTTGAATGAATCAAAATTATACCTATTTTTGTCAGATCCAAAAGAAATATATTTTTTTGGTGTGTTGCAGAATTTTAGTAATTAGTTTATATGTGCCATAAGGTGGAAAAGGTTGCAAATCACTGTTCTAACCTACTTAGGTCATAGATTGTGTGTATTGAATTGTTTCAGACCTGTGGGTTTTTTTCTTATGTTCTAATTGAAAATCTTTTAAAATGTCCCTAGTAACTTTGTTACTTTAAATTTGTGACACCCAATTTCTAATTTAGGCTAGGCATAAAACCAGCATTGATTGAACACACTTGCTAAAAATACTTTCTGGGTCAGAGGTACTCCAAATGCAGCCTCAGGAAAATTCATTTGAACTGCTGTGACCAATACACACTTCATTATTATTGAATGACTTAAAAAAACTATACATTCTTACAAATTAGATTTTTAAATTTCAGGCATTGAAGCCTAACTTTTTTTTATGTATAAAATACTTTATGTGGGATAGTAATAAAAACCTAAAAAGTTTTTTTTAACATATGTGAGTCCCCATGGATTATTATTAAACTCTGATATGTATATTCAAAATAGTTTTGTCTACTAAACATAATTGTAGTTAAGGTCAGTGCAAGTGCAGTGTTTTCTAATTAGTATTTGTGACTTACTCTAAATTCTGTAAGAGGGATCAATGGTCATATTTTTGAATCTTTTTTTTTAAATTTTTACTTTATTGATTATGCCATTACAGTTGTTCTATTCCCCCCCTTCATTCCCCTCCACCCCTGCACTCCCACCCCTACCATTTCCCCCCTTTAGTTTATGACCACGTGTCTCAAGTTCTTTGGATTCTATATTTCCCATACTATTCTTGCCCTCCCCCTATCTATTTTCTACCTACCATCTATGCTACTTATTTTCTGTACCTTCTCCCCCCTTCTCCTCCCACTCCCCTGTTGCTAACCCTCCATGAGATCTTCATTTCTATGGTTCTGCTCCTGATCTAGCTGTCCTTTTAGCTTGCTTTTGTTTTAGATGTGGTTGTTAATAACTGTGAGTTTGCTGTCCTTTCACCGTTCATATTTTTTATCTTCTTTTTCTTAGATAAGTCCCTTTAACTTTTCATATAATAAGGGCTTGGTGATGATGAACTCCTTGAATTTGATCTTATCTGAGAAGCACTTTATCTGCCCTTCCATTCTAAATGAAAGCTTTGCTGGATAGAGCAATCTTGGATGTAGGTCTTTGGATTTCATGACTTGGAATACCTCTTTCCAGCCCCTTCTTGCCTGTAGGTCTCTATTGAGAAATCAGCTGACAGTCTGATGTAAACTCCTTTGTAGGTGACTGTCCCCTTATCTCTTGCTGCTTCTAGGATTCTCTCTTTCATTTTAATCTTGGCTAATGTAATGATGATGTGCCTTGGTGTGTTTCTTCTTGGGTCCAACTTCTTTGGCACTCTCTGAGCTTCCTGGATTTCCTGGAAGTCTATTTCCTTTGCCAGATTGTGGAAATTCTCCTTTATTATTTGTTCAAATAAGTTTTCCACTGGTGGCTGTGCCTTTCCCCCTTCTGGTACCCCTATAATTCGGATGTTTGAGCATTTAAAGATGTCCTGGAGGTTCCTAAGTCTCTCCTCATTTTTTTGAATTCTTGTTTCTTCATTCTCTTCTGGTTGGTCATTTTTATCCTCCTTCTGCTCCACTCCTTTGATTTGAGTCCCACTTTCCTTTCCATTACTGTTGGTTTCCTGTGCATTGCCGTTCATTTCAACTAGTTTAGCCTTCATATGTTCCTGTAATTTGTGACTAAAATCAACCAGTTCTGTGAGCATCCTGATGACCAGTGTTTTGAACTGTGCATCTGAAAGTTTTGCTATTTCTTCGTCATTTAGATTTATGGGCTCTGGGGCTTTGAGATCTTCTTGAGTCATTTTTGCTCTGTTCGCACCCATTAAGTACGAAGAGTGGAGCCTTAGGGGCGGGGCCTGCAGGGCAGGGTCGCTGGGTTGTGACACTGTATGTGGGGGTGGGGTCAGAGCCAGGAAATGGCAGCCGTTTCTGCTGCCTCCCATTGCAGCGGGTCCCGTCTCACTGCCCACTCCCTCGCTGGTCTATCCGTGCAGGAGTGCATCAGCACAGTCAACCCGCTGCCCTTTACCCTCCCCGGATCTGCCAGTCGCTCACTGGGTCGTGCTCACTGGGTCTGCCCTTCGCAACCCCACATCTGGGATCCGTGTGCCTGAGTCCGTCTGACCGAGTCTTCCTGTGTAACCCCACTCCGCCAACTGCTGGTTTCGCCCCTCTTACTGGTCAAGCTGAAGAATTTGTTGTTATCGGACTTCTGAAAAGTTCAATTTTCTGTGTTCTGGCTATGTTTTCTGTTGCTAATATTTTGTTGTCTCTAAACTTGGTTGTGTGAGAAAGCTCGGTGTCTCCACCTATGCCTCCATCTTGGCGGAAGTCTGAATAATTATCTTTAAGGAACAAAATAAGAGACTACGAGATAATTTCAACAAGACACTGTTACTGATTTATTGAGAGTACTTTTGTTTTTCCAATCTGAAAGTTAGCATGGTCAGTTTTAAACAACAAAGAAGATTTTAAAATATTGAGAAATCTTGTTTGGTGGAAGTTTGAAGATGAATGTTTAAAAGTTCTGCATTAATTCTTTTTTTTAAGTGGAAGAAACAGCTCATCCATGGTTTTTGTGTATTTTTTCCTTTTTTATCCTCAGCTGAGGATGTGCTTTTATTGAAAAGAGATGAAGAGAGAGTAAGAAAGAGAAACGTCTATCAGTTGCCTCCTATATGTGCCCTGACAGGGAATTGAACCCACAACTCGGGTATGTGCCCCAACCAGGTATCAAACCCATAGCCTTTTGGTATATGGGAGGATGCTCCAACCAATTGAGCCACCAGGCCAGGGCTCTGCTTTAATTCTTTGTTATTTATTAGGAAAGTAAAATTGGTAATCTCACTAGAAACAGCAAGTTATGTGACTTTATGTGACTAAAGATGAATCGTTCCTAAATAAAATTTAGTATTGGCAAAAGTTTACTAGTTACAAACTGAG